AATGCAGGTGAGTACAAACTGCAGGAACACGGCCTCTCTCGGCAGCACAAGAACTGAGCTGCACAGCCCAGGCTGCAGTTCAGGCACTGACACGCAGGGCAGACACACTGAATTGTGTTTCTAACAGTGTGTTACCAACTGCTAGAATAGCTTTTTCCTGTAGGGCTCAGCAGTGTTTGAAGACTTCCATGAACTTACTCCCTGGAAGTTCCCACCAGAGTGTTTTTCATTTGACACAGCGCCTGGAAGTCCCCAGCAGGCTGCAGAAGTCCCCTTGCTCCACCAAGCCCAGCAGGCTGATGGAGGAAAGGGGGCTCAGCACAAGTGGAAGAGGGATAAACCGGTTGTTTCACCTCTGATACTGCTCACAAAGTCAGGGAGCAATAGATTAGCTGCAAACTGCCATTGAGGGAAGCATTTGATGTGGGGATGAGGGTTGGAGCACTGTACCTCCATTGGCCTTCAGAGGTGCCCAGAGCACTTTCAGACAAGCCAGTTTTCCCAGCGCCACAAGAGAGACCTGCTCAGCACTGCTGGCAACCTCACACACCAATCCAGAACCACACTCCAACTGCCCCAAGTCTACCAGCTGAGCCTCCCACACAGCGGGAACAGCATAGCTGGTGCTTTCTACTACAGAGCACGAGACCAGCTCTCTTTGGAGGATGGTGTGCTCACCAGCAGCCACCAGCCCAACACATCACTCAACAGCTCACGGCTCTTCTGAGGCTCCACTGCCTCTTCCCACAGCTCACAGCAGTTTGTTCTCAACTCCTGCCCCAGTGTACTGTGCTCAGTCTTCTCCCTCTGCGTGGCATGTTTCATGTGTATTTCTGCCCCCTCTCATGAAAGATTTAAATCCAGAAAAAGCAGGGTTACTGCTCGCAGGCCCCCCTGTCCTTGCAGCTTGCCAAGGAGAAGAGGTGGTGAGGGTCCTGCCCAGACTCTGCTCCATCTCAGGTGCCACTGTGGATTTCACCCTCCTGGAAGCTGTGTGCAGCAGGACCGCCAGCATCTCATCCTGGCTGATCAGACTGCTCCTGTGCCTTCTGGCCTTCCACGGCTGCTCCAAAGGACACCTGAGGGATCACTTGGGCACCTGCCTTCTTCCAACCTCCATTTTTACTTCTCAGCATGAGTAGCTAATGCCAGCGTACTCACAGCCATGTTTCAGCCTCCCCTCAGCGCACAAGTCTGCTCTTATTTATTATGCCAGCTCATATTTTGTGCAGCATCCCCTCACCTTTACCACGATGACGACCTTGCCCTGCTTGAGGCCGACAGCAACAGCAGAAGCAGCTGTGTCCTGGGATGTTTTGTCTGTGGTGATGATTTCCAGCAGCTGCATTTTGTCCACGGGGGAGAAGTAGTGCATCCCGATCACCTGGGCAGAAGGAAGAGCTCACAGGGTTAAGACAGACTTTGGCTCCCAGAGGAATCTGCTGGGTAAGTCAAGTGCCCAAGTGCAGAAGGACACAGGCCAGCATGGGCTGCAGGACCCACTGCCACAGTAGAATCAAATAGAATCATAGAACAGTTTGAGTTGGAAGGGACCTCAAAGATCATCTATTTCCAACGCCCCTGCCATGGGCAGGGACACCTTCCACTACATCAGGTTGCTCAAAGCCTCATCCAACCTGGCCTTGAAGACTTCCAGGGATGGGGCAGCCACAGCTTCTCTGGGCAACCTGGTCCAGTGTCTCACCATCCTCAGAGGGAAGAATTTCTTTCTTATATCTGATTGAAATTTCCCCTCTTTCAGTTTAAAGCTATTGCCCCTTGTCTTATCATTGTATCCCTCTCTGACAGGAATGCTCTCCAACTCCTTTCTCTCCTTGGCTTTCCCGAGGGCGCAGCACAGGCCCCACAGCTCTTGCCTCAGTGAGAATTTAGGTGTAACGCTTACAGGACCAAGAGTGCTGCTCAGTGCTCTCCATCCTTGTAATGGTCTGGCAGCAAAACCAGAGAATCTTGGCTGAGCTCAGTCCCCAGGTGAACCACAGGCCCTGCGTAATCTGCAGGTACCATCTGAGCTGGCAGAACAGCCACTCACCTGGGTGGTGCTTCTTCTGCACCGTGAGAGTGGAACAGCAGTCACAGAGACAGATGTTGAGCGAAAGTCCCTGTGTTCTGCTTGTGAATGTTTTTGATTTGGGTTGTTTGGGCTTTTTTGGTGATGAAGTGAATCTAAGGACAGGAAGGCATGTTTCCAGAAACTAATTACAGAAGTAAGTGCAGCCTTCCTCTGGGAAAAGCATTTACCTGGAGATTATTTGGTTGTCTGCCTTACTTTCTTAACGCAACCACGCAATCAGCATGTCACCTTCGTGCCTCCTGGAAGGACTAAGATCTGTATAAGTCAGAGGCACCTTGCAGGACAGTTGCAGACTGCAAAACTAATTAAAGACAATACACTAATTAGTCAATCGATTTCCTATTAGTTTCCCCAAAAAGAGCCATTACACAGGCAATTGATACAGTGAGAGGATGTTATCTGCAAGTCTGAACAAATAAGACCCAGTCTGCATTTCCAATGCAACTAAGGTCTGACAGCAGACCAGGGAGAGGCTCATGAAAGTCACAGGAACCTCCAAGAGCAGAGACACACTCTGTCACTCTATGGACTTCACAGATGCCCGCAGAACATCTGCGGGAAGACAAGCAGCAGAGGCAACGCACTGCCTTGGGCAGGCTTGAGACCCTTGTAGGAGTTTAGGGAACCAGCCAAGGGTACCTGTGCTTCTGCATTTGTGTAATGCTTTCCAACTGAGCTGGAGAGCTTTCCTCTCCTTCTCCCCAAGCTGCTATTGCCTCCCTGTCCCACCTGTTTTACAGAGGGAGATGGGATTATCTCACAGGAGAATTGCTGGCTCTTCCCTGAGTCTTCTGCAGCTCCAGGTAGGCAAAGCAGATTCCTCAAATGAGGGGAAAGCGTTTCCCCCTTTTTCTATCAAGGCTACCCTAAAGCAATGCTTAGTCCTCGGGAGGTGACTCCACCTGATCACGCAGATTCCTCACGCAATTTCAGACACGGCAGTGTCACGTCTGGTCTCCTGCTGCTTCTCCCTGAAGAGTGCAGGTGTCGCACAGGGCCAGTGCCAGACGTGCCAGCGGCACACCAGCAGGTACCACAGGTACCCTCGGCAGTCACAGATGGCAACGATGCCAGCACAGCGCACAGCCGACTCCTGCCAATGCAGCACATCCACACCCCTCAGATGGTAATGCCACCAGGCAGGTCCCGCAGGGCAGGCTGCTCCCCATGAAGCACTGCTCCTGCTCAGCTGTGCTTGCCTGGGCTGAGGGGGGTGGATGCAGTCACTCTATGCGCTGTTCAGACTTCAAGCAAAAGGATGAAGAAGTCCTCTGCTCCAAACCTCTGCCACAAGCTGCTATGTTGCTCTTGGTATCCTGTTCGCACGGATCATTTGGAGCTGGAGAGAAAAGCCCACCACCCTGTCAGGAGCCAATCCCATGGCTGACCACGGCTTCAGTTTCAGCACCTCCGAGTTCAGCTTCCAGCCACTGACTTTTCTTCCCTTTTTGCTGCTAGGTTAGCACCTTCCCCAAGGAGAAGGCGGCATTTGCCCGTCATGGCAAGTCACTCCTACATCTACTCAGTTTATCAAAATGACTGAAGTCTTCTTGGTCAGAATTCTCTCAGCTTGAGTCCTTCCACAGCTCCTCTGCCTCCATTAATGTTTCCTGAAGAGCACTGACCTCCCTACTGCACCCTGTCCTGCCAACATCACGCTTGGGGTGATTCCACCTTCAACCCCTCCCTACCTGTCCAAGGACCACAAGCTCTGTGTTCAACGCTTGCACTGGGGCAGAGGATGAGCTGTTTCATGTTCTGAGGAGGAAGCAGAAGATTCCAGCGTTCACCTGCAGCAAAGCCAGTTTGCCTCTAACAGGCAGCTCAACGCAGAGCACGCTCGTAGCAGGCACGCAGCACTGGGTACTCACCTTCTCCGGCCTCTTGCTAACAGCAGCAATTTGGCTGATCGGGAGGGCAGATGTGTTACTGGCGAAGATGCAGTGAGCAGGGATCACCTGTGGCAAGGAGCAGAAGAGACAGTGTAAACGCACAGACTCCAGAGTCAGATCCAACGCGTGACGTACAGAGCCCTGAGATAACAGCACCAGCACCTGGTAACCCTGATGAACAAGGCAAACCTGCTTCTTCTCTGCCAGGGCAGACAGCATTACAACCTAATTCTAAAGCAGCAGCCCAAGTCAGCCAGATCTGAATTCCTCTGAACTCTCCACTCTCCCCAGGTCTGCAGTATCAGTCTCAGAGCCTCCATGCTTCTGCCAGACCATTGCAACCACATCAAACGCAGCAGGGAGGGAATTCAGAAAGGTGCACACAGCAGCTCCCTGACCACCCAGTGATTTCCCCAAGCACCAAACGGCAGCACAAAGGAGATGTGACAAACCCAGCAGGATGGGACACTTCGAGTCTCCACCATACACGGCCCACATCTAGCAAGAGCTACTCAGAACCAATACTCACGGCCTCCACCTCCTTCAGCACTTTGTGCTTGATGTTAATGTCCTCAAACACAGCCTCGATCACCATGTCTGCCTTCTCAAAGCCCTTGTAGTCCAGCTGGCCCGTCAGGTTGCTGAGAATGGAGTCCCTCTCAAACGACGTCAGACTCTTCTTCTTCACCTTGCTGTTCAGCCTAGGGAAGGACAGCTGTCACAGCTCCTGGGCAGGACAGCCCAGACTGCTAGAGGTGCACCACAACACCAAGGGCATCCCTCCCTCCTGGAGCTGGGACCTAAAACACCATCTCCACTGCAGCAGGACTGTCTCTCTGCCTACTGGCCCCTCCTTCCATTTAGGAAAAGGAGAGCCATGCTCACACGACTCAGACGGTGCATTAGCCTGAAGGTAAATCACTTTCCTGATGATGCACCGCTGAGCACTGTTACTGCTGAGCCAGGAGGACAGGAGAAAGAAATCCAGCTTTTCAGAAGTGTGACTCCATGCCTCCCCTTGACATGGGCCTCTAGGGAGCCAGGACTGCTCCCTCCCTCCTTAGCTCTATAAGCTACTGCTGCTAAATCTAAAAGCTAAAACAATCATCTGTAAGGTCATCTACCTAAGGAATCACAGAACGGTTTCGGTTGGAAGGGATCTTCAAGATCATCTAGTTCCAAGCCCCCTGCCGTGGGCAGGGACACCTTCCACTACACCAGGTTGCTCAAAGCCTCATCCAACCTGGCCTTGAACACTTCCAGGGATGGGGCAGCCACAGCTTCTCTGGGCAACCTGTGCCAGTGCCTCACCACCCTCAGAGGGAAGAATTTCTTCTTTAGATCTAATCAAAATCTCCCCTCTTTCAGTTTAAAGCCATTGCCCCTTGTCCTGTCACTACAAGCCCTTGTCAGAAGCCCCTCTCCAGCTTTCTTGCAGCCCCTTTAGGTACTGGAAGGCTGTTAGAAGGTCTCCCCAGAGCCTTCTCTTCTCCAGGCTGAATAGCCTCAACTCTCTCAGCCTGTCTCCATAGCAAAGGTGCTCCAGCCCTCGGATCATCTTCGTGGCCCTTTGCTGGACTCACTCCAACAGCTCTATGTCCTTCTTGTGTTGGGGACCCCAGAGCTGAACACAGCACTGCAGGGGGGTCTCATGAGAGCAGAGTAGAGGGCCAAAATCCCCTCCCTCAACCTGCTGTCTGAATACACCGCCTATTTCATAGCGATATCCCAGCACGCTGCACAGGGCAACCTTAAAATAAAGCGTTTCTGTGACGTCTGATGATAGAAGACTCCGAAGGATACCAAGATGTCTCAGGAGTTCCTGACTGCCTGACAGCAGAGGAGTATTTTGACTAAATGCAGCCCCATCCCATTCCGAGCAAATTCTACGTACCCCTTGAAGACCTGCTGCTGTCCTCTGTCCAAGCCTTGCTGTGCTGCATCCTTCAGGATGGTCTTCAGTCCCTTATCCACTGAGACCTGTGCGATCCCAGCTCCCATGAGCCCTGCTCCCAGCACTGCCAGGGTCCTGCACAAAAAAAGACCAAGGGACAAGTTCAGTGCTAGAAATAGCTGAATTTCCATTGCTGCTGTCAGACTCGCACAGATCCTGCCCACTCAGGCACTACTTTTTTGTGAGGTCATGCAAGAAGATGTCACTTGTGGGTGAGACCTCCAAACTGCAGAGGATTTGCCTTCTGGAAGCTGGAAATCTCTCTGCTCCGCTACACTGCTTTTCAGGACTCTAGGCCACTTGGTCCCAAGAGCCTTTTTGCAGAGGTCATCCAACTGCTCCTCTGGCATCCCATGCTTGCACTTACTTGACCTCTCGCTGAGGTGTTCCAAACTTGTTCTTCTTGCAGTGCACCTGCCCGTGGTAGAGTCCCATCAGCGCCTTGGACTCCTTAGTCGCTGCGAGTTGGCCAAAGCTCTGGAAGAAAGGGAGGCAGAGAGTTTGGCATTTAACAGCTGTCTCACTTCCAGCAGGCACACATCAAAAACATGGTGAGGGGAAAGCACAGTCACCCGTGTAGCGACACAGACTAGTAAACTGGTTGGAAAAGGAAGAACGGACAGGGCATACGTATCCTCTGCCCAGAGGCACCTTCTGTACTAAGCACAGCCCACTCCGCACCACTGCCTCCCACGTGGGCTGCCAGAAAGCAGTAGGAAACTGCTTGTTCAACGTCCCTTGCCA